CTTTTTAAGTTAATGACACCGAAACGTCATCAGACGACATGGACAGAGGGAAAATTGATACTGCCAGATTAGACCATTTAGCGCGACAGGACAAATCCAGACAGACAGGCAACTAATGTGCGAGGGAGGTGGAGACATAGTTGCGGTAGGATTTGCGACTGGGGGGTGGGGGTGAGAACAGCTACTGCTTCCTGTGTAGGAAAGGGACTGGAAAGCGATTCAATGTGACCACAGACATAGCGGTCGTCGATGCAGGCGAAATCAGGTGGTCAGTGTGTTGTAATTGGAGATGTCAGGAATTTCAGCTGCAGTTCACCGTGTCCAGGGGAGAGGGTTGCGAGGCAGAGAGATTCAACGTAGCCCAGCATTAACAGAAGGCTGTTGGTAGGCCATGGGCATAATTCAGTGAGCTGAGCCAGGAGACCTTCGTAATGAGTGTTCAGATTGACATGGCGATAGGTGCTGGTCGTGCTGCAATGAAAGGCCTCGAGGAATTCTTGCGACTATTCGTTGTTGGTGATGACAACCACTCCAGTTCCGTCACAAAAAAGTGATGGTGACACACAAGGGATATGCGCAAACAGGAGTGACAAGGGGTCACGTTGGCGGATGGCGAGCTTAAGTTCGTTACTACACGTACCAACTCGTCGTTAGTACACGGAATGCAGTAGATGACCTTAGTCTGCTGCTTTCTGAGTGTGGCTTCTTTTATTCGGCATAGTGTTGCGCGCAATTTACCTATTATTTATTATTATCATTATTATCTATTATTATGATTATTTTTTCATTTCCCGCTATTGCCGACCGTAATGGACTTATTCGTAAGGATTTTTTACTCGTACCTTTTCTCTTTCTGTATAGAACTACTTTAGCGATCCCTGGAACGTGTTCGACTTCATTATCGTCGTCGGTAGTTTTGTCGACATCGTGCTGTCACACATTGCCGTAAGTCAATACTTCCTCGAAAGTCATGGACACTTCTGCTTGAAGTTGATTTTTTCTGGTAATAAAAATATACTGCCCTTTATCCCGTTATCTATAGCAACGGCGGCTGCCGCACTTACGTAATATATCAAACGACTGAGGGAGGGGATAGGTTAAACGAGTAAAGGACAAGAAAATTAATAGAAACCAGTCAATTAAAATCAGCTTCCCTATCTCAGATTCCTTTTCATTTCTAAGAGAAATCTCAAAAACTAAACAGGTAACGATCTGAGATATGACTTTAGTCAGAAAACCGGACGCAACAACTCTTGTAAAACGGAAGTGATAGGAAACTGGGTTTTATGAGTGGAGTGAACAAAAGTGACAGAAAGCCGTTTTCCGGAAACAAAATTTACACTAATATTTACACCATTACCTTTTTAAATATATATGGATAAAGTGTAAAAAAAGCTGAGCGTGTGAATTAAAATATCGGAAAGTCGACGCTGTAAAGGGTTAGCAGAAGTGCAAGCCTATGTTTTTGGTTGGATATTGCAGACGAGCTGAACCCCAGGCCGTGATGATCAATCATATCGAAAGTGAAGGTGCGAAGTATGTCTCGTTAAATCTGACTCTCTTGATGGTTGAGCTTGAAGAGGTAATTGCAGCCGAGAACGTTAAAAAAAACTTTCAAACCTAGACTCATGTTTGAAACTTAATTCTGACCCTAAATGTCTAACCCTAGCTCTGATACTTAGACCTAAACCCACTGATTTTAAACCTATCCTTCACCTTAACTACTTAACCCAACGCTTATCCTAATGGTAACACTTTAGTTTAGTGTTTCGGAAGATGAAAGAAGGGGAAAAGGATTTAGTTAAGTCTACCCAAATGACATGCATATTTCGTAGACGCAGCTTTTATGTAGTGCTAAAGGTCTGATCGTCGCTAGCAAAATTTTTGTTTAAACGGCTCTCTGGCGGACAAATAAGTTATTTATCAACCCTAGGTAGCCCCGTTTTCGAAAAAGAGCGCATCCTCTCCAATGCTTTTATCATCTACTTTTAGTCCTCCCTATTTTGCTGCGGTATACGCTTAACAGCTCATGGACCTTATTAGATTTTGCTGGTTTCCGCAGTAGCTACTATGCAACGAATAAACCGGAGTTGCACAGCTTAAACCTTCCCAAACTGATGGGCTGTTAATCACCATTGGTACCTTTATCTTGTCACCGAAGCACAGTTGCATGCCGATTGCTATTTACCACATCCGTAGAATAAGACGTTCACAGTCTCCTCCATCCCCTCCCCAAAGAGTGTTCAACAAATAGTGTTGTTGGCAAAGACAAGGGAAATTGGTACCAGTACAGGTACCAGTCTGCCTTCTCTTTGCCGGCAATACTATCTACCTACCTATCTACCTAGCAGCTATGGCTGCTGTCGAGGCCCGAGAAATGAGTCGTTAGGCAGAGGGGGCCGAGTGATTTCCGTTAGCGGTAGGTGAACGTTCATCAACAAGTGTCAGTGATCAATAAGTCTACTTGCTGATTTTAACTGCAATTGGTCAGCTTGACAGAACCTATTAAAATGAGGAAAATATTGGCAAGGAGGAAAAGTGATAACAAACAATACTGGTCTTTTTTATGTGAACGCTCTTTTGCATGGATGGCGTCTTAATCTTCCGTTAAAATGGGTCAGCAGTTACCAACTCCG